AAAGACCCGGCCTAAAACCAAAACCAGTTCTGCAGAATATTCCTATCCTCAACAGTTCTCCTAATCCTGGCCAGAATAAGGAATTCAAATGACTTCCCAAAAGGCGAGAGAAGGGAAATAGGCCTGTAGCTACCACACTGAGAAGGATCGGAACCCCGCTTCAGTGTGGGAAGTAACAAAGTCTCCTTCCAAACCCTAGGGAAGTATTCTAAATTCAGGCAGGGATTGAAGAGAATGGTGAGTAAGGTAAAAACTACGTATCCTGCTCTTTCCAAAGCTACATGTGGGATGTTGTCCATACAATAGGATTTACGCGATGACCGGCGTGAAAGCGCAAACCCAACGAACCTGGGATCGACAAATCCATCATCTTCCCAAAGAGAGATTTTGTTCTTTGCAGAAAATGAACCGCTGAACGACGCAACAGGAAAATGGTCTTCAATGCCCTCAATCGCCGAGCTAACTTGGCAGAAGAAAGTTCTAACCGAACCTAATTCTATCGAACCACAATCGATCTCCTTGATAATCGTCCTATGGTCGGACTCAAAGCAGCGGGTCTCTGATATTGTACTTTCCGCTGCCAGTGCGGCGTCTGACGCATGCAAGGATAAGTCAATATACGACCATGCAAATCCATTGGGCCTAATGGCTTCTACATCCAGACAATCAGCAAGAAGGGTATCGACCTGGTATCGACCTCTACACCACCCACGACTTGTTCGAATTGTCTGAACTAGAAATTCAAATTTTGTTGAAAATGTATTAAAATTTAGTCAGTTATAGTCGTTGCAACTAAATCTGAAACATTTGAAATATTCCAATCAACTCGAATCGCTCCATATTGAAAACATTTATAATTTAATTTTTTTCTACAGCAATTATTTTTCTTGTCCCGAAATTGGGGTTAAAGAAAATGCTTTCCAAAAAAAATCAACCACTCATCTGATTAACTTATCACACATTTGCTCTCTTCTTCTTATTTATTTTATTTATATATTTTTTTTTTCAAAGTGGATATTGCACAAAAAATTGTTTAACAGCTGACATGTATGTTCCTTATTAAAAGACGACTATCCTCGTTAGCCTTACAAGCGAATCAATAACAGTAAAAAAATCTAACAGCCAAATAAATTTATTTAGATTGTGAAAAAAATAATATTCTGAGAATTTTGGTGATCAACAAAAACAAGATACATACAGACAGCAAACGACACACACATACATACTATGCGATTTGGGTATACCAACCAACACACATGTACGAGTATATAACCAATAAACGTGGCCGTTTTTATTTTTTACGTTGTCTTCTTCTTCTTCTTGCCTTTTTTTGCTTTGTATGTACAGTAAAAACTCGCTAATCCGGATAATTAATTGCAGACCCCAATCCGGATTACCGAGATTTCCGGATTATCGAGTTTTATTAATTGGTTTAAATTTATATTAATTTGGTGATAATTTAATTATTTTTATGTTTTTATTAAAAATGAAAATTATTCATTTCAAAAATATGAACTTTGAATATAATATGTACCATTTTCAATTAAATTTGCTACGATTTTTTTATTAAAAAAAAGTTACGTATCTTTACAGTCCGGATTTTTGAGTCAAATAGGTCAATCAATCCGGATTATAGGATACGCAATGGGTTATGAAATGCAGTGTGATTAATATAATTTCCGGATTTTTGTTTTCCGGATCTCAAGTTAATACTGTAATTTAATTTCCGTATTTTAAACAACAACAACAATAATAACAATAACATCTTAATCTCTTTCCTTTATTTCGAATGCAGGTCCATCCACCTGTCCTGTTAATAAGTGAATTTATTTTTTTGTTTTTAAATAAAATAAAAATGCAAAAAAAAAATTAATCATTGCAATTTTTCCGAAAAGTTGATTAACCCTATCACACACATATCAAGGTGGGTAGTTGTCTGATATGTTTGTATGTACTTATGCGTCATATACCACTGACTACAATATTCTTCTACTCATGATAATGAACACAAATTTTGTAATTAACTTTTTCTGTGATAATATTTTAATTTCACTTTTTTGTATTTAGCTCTCTCTTCTCTACTCCTCTTGCTTAATTTCAGATTTTTTTGCTTGAATGGCAATCAAAAATCGTTTTTTTTTGAAAACAATGAACAACCGATTTTTCCTCTGTTGGTTGGCTGGCTGGCTTGAATTATTTATAAATATTTGAGTTGATTAATAACACAGAAAAATAAACATCTTCTTCTTCTTGGCTTGCTGATACACACGACGCTGCACACATGTACGTACACCCCTTGCTCAGCACAGCACCGAGTTATGTATGCGAGAGATATTAGCAAGCCAACCAGCCATCCACGGCAAACATTCAATTTTATAACAGAAAATAACAACAACAGCAGCAGCAACAAAACAATAAACTGCTTAGTTAATCTCTTTGCCATCATAATTTATTTCATTGTGTTCTCTTTGAAAATCAATGAAGAAAACAAAATCAAGAGATTTTCATGCTCTTAACATTTCAAGAGAAAATTCTAATGTTTGGTTGGGGGACTTTCTCTTAAAAATCTCTTTTGTCTTTTGAAAGGAGAAGAGAGCACAACGAAACTGTTATGTGGGGGTTTTGCTCTCTCTTTGATAGGGGAGAGCCACACAGCACAGCCAGAGTTGAGTAATGTTATTGCATTTTTGCATTAGTTTTGCCTTGTTGTTTAACAAGAATGGGGAACGACGGGTGTGTGTGTGTGCGTGCGTATGTGTGTCACTGCATGTAATGAAGGCTAAAGGGAGCAATGTAAGCTCCTCTTCTCATATTCTCTATTGATAATTATGATGGGGGAATTTTGTTATTGTTTTGTGACAGACTGTCGGTTTTGTGATAATAATCTCTATTTTTAATTTTGAGCTCTGTTCATCTCTCTCTCAAAAATTATATTTTTATTATTCGTGGTAATTTACAAAACAATATTACACAAAGCAATGTCGACATTGTTTTCTCGGATTTATTATCATTTGAAGTAGAATTTTAGCTCCCCACGCTAACAAAACAATAACACAAAGCAATGTCGACGTTGTTTGGGCTCCCATCACAGAGTGAGTGTTTGCTTCAGTACTGTTGTTGTTTTTGTTTTTCCGTGTGGAGAAAAAAGACGTTTGAGCAAAGAGTGTGCATGCATGCCAGACATACAAATGAAGGAAGACGCGAAGGCCTGTGTGAATTGTATGTGCGAGCGAGCGAGTGTGTGTGTGATTGTGTGTTGTATTGACTATGGCCACAGCCAGCCGCCTGCTTGCCTGCCTGTTGTATGTTGTGTATATTCAGTCGGTTTGCTACAATCAAACGAACCGAACATTTTCTTTTGAAACGGCAATACTCTGGTTCAGTTCAATGCGAACGTGAGAACGGTGTGGACGTGCCAAAAATACTACGCGGAACATCGTAATAAACAGAAAACAACAAAAAATAATAGAAGACAAGAAAAAAATTTATAAACTTAAAGAAGACCAGCCAGATCAAATGAAAATTTTTACACAATTACAAAATTAATGAATTAATACAAACAAATATGATTAATTAAAAACTATGCAAATGAGTGCAATTATTTATGAAAATTAATTTTTGTTTTGTTTTAAATTTTTAACAACAAAAAACACTTCTCTACAGAGTTTTCAAAAGTCCTGGATTATTTTGAAAATTCTTAAACCCAACAAACAAACTGTTAATTATTAATCTCAATTACCAAAACCAACCAGTTGAAAAAAAAAACTTTTTAAAAGTTTTTATTATTTAAAAAATAAATTTAATAAAAATTGTGCAACATCTGTTTTTTCTTAAAAAAATCTCAGAGATTTTTTCCATAATTATTAAAAAAACAGTGCAAACATAAATCCCCAAAAAGAAATCTTCAGTTAAACTGTGATTTTTTGTGTTTCCTTAACAAGACCAACAACAAGAAAAAAATCTCAAAAAAACATCACTTTGTTTGTGTTTTATTTTTTTGCATTGCGTTTTTTCTCAAATTGTGGTTTACCTTGCATTAAGCAGCAACAATCACTTTACAACAAAAACAAACAACAACAAGAAATTATTATCATCAACCAAAACTAAACAAAAAAAATTGTCAAAGAAAAACCAACTAACAGAAAAAAACTAAGAGAGCAAAACAACAACAAACGTTAAGCATAAACATTTTTTTTCAATTTTTTTTTCAAATGTGACTTTGCAAAAAGGCAAAAAATTTATTGTGGAAAAACCAGTTAACAATATAAATAAAATTCCCTAAAAACCCCAATTCTATCTCAAAGATACCCTGTGTTGTGTTGTCTGGACGGACATCCGCATCAATTTTTTATTACAAGGAACAACCTCAAGGTATTTCCCCTAATATTTAACTCACTGAGTGACGTTACAAATTAAAAATCACAAGCATAAAGAACAACGGTGACGACTTCACTACATAGTGGCAAAAAAACAAAACGAAACACAAACTGCAACAACAAAAGCAACGCAAACTCAACACACTTTACCAAGCAAAAAAATACCAACAACAAAAATTATCAATCATTAACAAACAAAGCAAAAGAGCGAGAGTTGTCTCAGTGTTAAGTGAGTGAGAGACAGAGGCCAATACTCGCTACAAAGAAGAGTAGCCGCCATCCCCACCATCATCTAACAAGAACAACAACAACACTTGGGAAACCCGTAATACACAACAGAGAGCTTGCTCACTCAATTACTTAGAACAACAACAAAGAGTAGCAAACGAAGAAGAAGGTGTGTGTTTGACTGTTGTATGATAAGCAAAGCAATCGACCCCAAACAAGAGTAAAATTAATTCAGTTAAACCGAAAAAAACTAACGGATTTTTTATCGTGCTGCTTCTTCATTACTCATCATCTCTCGGCTCAATTGAACCATTGAGAGTTTGTTTCAATTGAGAGCAAAGCCAAACAAACCACACACAAAGCCAAGCAAGCAAACCCACCTTACCTCACACAGAAGGAGCTACACAGCAAACAACAACACCAACAAAATGACCTTGCCCAGCATAACGCCCAACAATCAATGTGATGATGATTCCGATATGTTTGGACCACCACGTACCTCACCACCAATTGGCTATCATCATCATCGATCGCGTGTGCCTATGATATCGCCCAAGTTGCGTCAACGTGAGGAGCGTAAACGCATTTTGCAGTTATGCGCCCACAAGTTGGAACGCATCAAGGATTCGGAAACCAATTTGAGACGCAGTGTCTGCATTAATAATACCTATTGTCGTTTAACCGATGAATTGAGACGTGAAAAGCAATCCCGTTATTTGGCCAACTTACCAAGGTAAGTGGAAAATCAAACTAACAAAAAAAAACAGTGATAATTTAGTTTTATGAAAAAAAAATCAAATGGGAAAACTGGTTGCAAAGTTTTCCTCAATCCACACAACAGAAAAAAATGCCATATCAATATGTCGCTACGCCTGTCTGTCGGTTTGTCTATGTGTCTGTAAACCGATTGCCAATGCCATAATGATTAAAGAAAGAAAAACAACAACAACAAAATACAACCATGCATATATTACAACAATTTTTGTGCGTTTTGTGTAATTGTGTGTATTTTATTATTTGCTGACTGGCTGACAGACAGACAAACAGACTGGGTTTCCTCAAGCAATGAATGCAAAAAACCAACCAGGCCAGCTAACTAGCAGCTAGACTAAGTGAAAATTTTATTTAAGCGATAACAACAAAAACATAAACCAAAGAAGAAGACATGAAAAAAACAACAAGGAAGCTCGCTCAATGTATATAATTTTTCATTTTTGTTGTTGTTGATCAAATTTTATAGCTTTAATTTTTTTCGTTTGAGGTTAGGTAATGAGACAGAGACGAGCGACATCAGCCAGAAAAAAAATTAAATAAAATTGAAAGCCAGTGTTGGCGTTGTTTTTTCACTTTTGGATATTTATTTCATCATTTCCATTATTTAAAAAAAAACAGTGTTGTATTTTAATGATGGTTGATAGAGGCAGGGAGGGAGGGGAACAACGACAACAAGAATCACAACAACTAATTTATGCCAGCAAAGCATTTTCGTTTGGTTTTTTCAAGTGGGGCAATAAATTAATTGCAAAAAATATTTTTTTAAATATAATTTTGAAAAAAAAATTTTTTTTAAAAATAAGAAAAAATACACAAAATAAACTGTTTTATAAATTACTTAGTAAAGTGAGATAATTTTCAAAATTATTTATAGAAAAAATAATTTTAAGAATTTTATACCAATGAAAAAAACTTTATTTAGTAATAATTAAAAAATAATAAAATACCACACACTGTGCTACAAAAATGTGAGGTTATGTTGAAAATATAAATAGTTTAATGTTAAAAAAATATAATTGTTCGAAAAGTGAAGAAATTATTTAAATATAACTTGTATTTAAATTGTTATTATAATTTGTTATTGAAAATGACATTAAAATATGTGAATGAAAAAATTTAAAAAAGTGAGTTTATGTTGAAACAAATTTTATTTTAAATTGTTTGAAAAAAATATATTTTTTATTAAACATAAAATAAAAATATGTGAAAAAAATACCAAAAATTGTAAAATTGAGTTAAATTAAAAAAGTGGGGTTATGTTAAAAAAAATCATTTTCAATTATTTTTTAAAAAAATATTTTTTTATTAAACAAAAAATTAAATTATGTGAAAAAAACAAAAAATTGAGATTAAGTTCAAAATTGAAAATGAGTAACAAGTGAGGTTATGTTAGATACTTCAAAAAAAGTTTTTTTATCACCAAGTCTTCTGAAAGTGTTTAATTATTATTACAAAAAAATATGTATGTATGTGTGTATACATACAAATTCATGTTTTCAAATGTGTTATGCAGTCACAACACCAAAAAACATATTTTCGTCGAATTTATTCTAGAAGGTCTTAAGTGAGGTTAAGACCGACGACAAATATTTTTTCGGCCTTGATGTTCCGTTCAAAAAACGGAAATTTTCCCAGAAAAAGGAACAAGTAAAAAATTATGTATATGTGAAAAAAAAATAAATTAGTGGACTTCATTTATTTCCAAAAATATGTTATTTCTTCGATTTTTATAAAATATTTCTATAAAATATTATCTTTGTTTTCAAAAAAATATTTAATTTTTTTAAATTAGTTTATGTTAAAACTAAATTTTTAAAAATTGCAAATTTTGAAATTTCAAAAAAATATTTTTTTTTAAAAAAATTTCTTCGAACAAAAATATTTCCTCTTTTTTTTACTAAAAAGTATTTATGTTGTAGCACAGTGTAGTATTTAGTTAATACATTTTCTAAATTGTAAAATCTCATGATCTCTCTCAATTGTGAATTGAACCCAAAAATTTTAATTTTCTAAAATTTTAAGCCAAAAATGTAAAACTGTAAATAATAAATCTTATAATTAGGAAAAGTAATTATAAAATAATGAATTTTCAAATACCAAAAACCAACAAATGTAAATTTAATTTTTAGTTACAAACTACCCCCAATTTTTTTTATTTCCTCAATGAAAATAAAGAATTTTTAAGAAAAAAAATTAAAACCCCCAAAAACAATCTGGAATTCTTTGAGAATATTCGTTAAACAAAAGAGCTAAGTATGAAAGAAAAAATATATATTTTTTTCAAAATTTTCCAATGTTTATTTCTGTTGTTGTTGTCCAGTGAAAATAAACGTGATATATTTGCTCAAATTAATTTGTGTTAATTTTTTTTCTTTTCTTGCTATACTCTTTTCACTATAATTTATTGAAAAGAAAACAACAACAACAGCAATCTGATGTCTCACTAGACTCAACTACATACACACAAGTCAATACGGAAAGAAAAACAACAACAAAAAACTACAACTAAGCCTATATATGGGTGGCAATTTAACGCTTTGTTTCTAGCTAAAAAGCGTTTCACATACGCACACATGAACTGCCGCCGTTGGCAGACTAGACGGACGGGCGTGTTTTTTTCGTCATGAATTATTAAGAATAATTTAATTATTGTTAATTTTTTTTCATTTAAAATTTGTTGTGCCTTGTGCTTGCCAGCCAGCCAATCAGCAAAAGCTAAACAAGCTCTGCCATGCAAAAACAAACAAATAAATAAATAATGACAATAGAGCAAAAACATTAAATGATAATACATTCCAAGAAGAGAAAAAAATTCAAATTAAATCATAAGCTTTATTTAAATTCCCATAGAGCAGGAAAATTGTGGCGATTCTCAGTATTCTGAGAATAATGATAAGGAAATTAATTTTTACAATGAAATCAATTTTGAAGGCATACCAAAACTATTTTTCAGTGGCGCCCAACGTAAAGCTTATTGAAAAAAAAATGTTTAATTTTTTAAACTATTTTTCATTTAATATTCAGTAGCTATTCCTCAAACATATAGCTTTTCCATTTTTCCAATGTGTAGGAGTTTGAGTATGATGATGGACAGAAAAAATAACGTATTATGAATTCAGGCCAAGCTCATGCCAAAAATATACACACACACACTCATACTTACATATTATTATTATTATCATCATCATCGTCATATGAATATGTTTGCCAACAGTTTAAATAAAATCCGAAAAGAAAAATACAAGCCATCAAACAAACATAACGAACAACACAACGAACCACAACTTAATATCTCTATATACGTTGTGTGTATGTGTGTGTGCAACACACAACCAGTTAGTTCATTCACAACAAAACGGCAAAAGCCATAACAATTGGTAGTACTACTATCATGCAAGTGGTTGTGGATACCATAAGGCAGAGAGTGGAAGCGAGAGAGGTCTGGGGAGGACACCCATGAATGTAGCAACAATATCATCACACACATGTTGTCCCTCAGCCTAAAAACCCAGCCAATAACATAAAACAAGGCAGACAGACAGACGAACAGAAGGAAAGTACAACAACAACGGACACATTCGGCAAGAAAAAACGGACACACAAAAGCAACAGACCTCCAAAGCCCCACACTCCAAACCATTTCACAGCAAAAGGATGGAGGAGGAGCATACAGCCATTCTCACATGTTGTGTTGTTGTGGTTGTAAAAATGTATTTAACTTGAAAGGCTTACAAAGGGATCATATTCCTGAATCAGATACTCCTAGCTTTTTGCTGGAATAATTTGTTATAAAAACTGTTAAAATTTTTTAACTTTTTGCAAATGGCGCCCAACGTGGGGTCCGAAAAGTAGTCATATTTTTCACTATAAATTAAATAATGTTAATTATAAACATTTAATTAGGCATTTCCAAGCACTTTTGAGCATTTACATAAAATTTTATAAGTGGCGCCCAACGTGGGGTCAGAAATTTAACCAAATTTTATCATTAATTAGAATTATACATTTTTAATTAAACCTTTTTATGCAGTTTTAAACATTTCTGGGCTATTTTGGAAATGGCGCCCAACGTGGGGTCGGAAATTTTACCGCATTTCCCCATCAATTAGAATTATAAAATTTAAATTTATCGTTCTTACGCACTTTAAAGCATTTTCCAGCAATTTTTCAAATGGCGCCCAACATGAGGTTCGGAACAAAAATATTTCTTTTAACTTTAAAAATTAATGCTGACTCATCAGAACATGACCTCTAAATCATCACACATTTCAGATGACCAATAGTTCGTTTTTTCCCAGAATTTAACAAAAAAAATAATATTTAAATTAAACACACAACCACACAGACGCTTACAAAACTATTAGCACAAAACTTAAGTTTAAAAAGTTAAACACAAACGTTCAAATGATCACGTTCCACTTGCAACAATGGCAGCGCACACACAGCAGCACAACTGTGAACAAAAAAGCTGTAGTTAGTAACTGCCTTCCGTTGTTGTTGCTGTTGTTGCCGCCATAACAACAGCAGTCAATGCCATCGCCGCCACAACAACAAACATAGCATGTTTACACACAACAACAAAAACGACAACCTAACAAATCATATCAAATAACAAAGGCAGCAAGAAAACCAATCATCATCAAAAGCTTAAAAGCAATAGCAAGTTTTTCTTCTGCTTTACACGTTTATCACCTTAAACATAAATCAACAACAAAAAAACAATCGAAAAATAAAATTCAAAATACTTTTTTATGAGACTAGAAGCATGGAACTTAATTTTAGAAATAGGTTAAGTAGAAATGACGGTAATTAAGAGGGAGAAAGAGAGAGGCGAGGAAAGAAAGAAAAAAAAATCATAAGATATTGAATTAATACATTTAAAGGGATATCGAGAAAAAAATACATTTATTTCAACCAAAATGAACAGAAAAACCTGGATCGATGTTCCCTTTTCACATC